CCGCGTAAATCGAGAATATATATATATATATATATAAATAAATGTTCTGTTATTTCATTTATGCGTTTCTCGTTTTACGCGGACCTCCACAGGTTCAATTGACCGCGTAAATGCAGACTATAATGTACTATTGTATATATAAATTTTGAGTAAAAAAGCGAATGGTCAAAACCGCGATAAAAAAAAACGCGAAAAACACGGGATTACTGTATCTGTATCTAAAAATTTTTTGTCAACCTCTCCTAGACAGAGGTTAAGGATGAAGTAAATAAGAAGTACAGTATTAGTATTACACACACTGTACTGTACCTTCAATTCTCTCATTCTTTGCCTCACAGATGGTGCGAGGCAGTCGATCAACTGCCATTAGTGTGAGAAGGATGTAACCACTAATGTACAACAAAAATCCCACCACCATAGTCTTGAAGCGTCCCAGCCAAGCATCTGATATATATCTGAAATATTTGAAAATTTTCAAATAATTAAATGTGTTAGGGATAGTGATCGTACTAAAATTCCATTCTCAGTTATAATTTAAATATCTGAGTACAACTAGGTGCCCATTTATTTAGGATAAACTACAAATTTAATATGAAATAAATACATACATTTATTTTTATTAACACTTAATAAATACATATACATTAACTGTCAAAGCATAACTTTTCAATTTCAATCATTAATTAAACTCAGTTGAAGCAATTAAAATTTTCACTGTGATAAAAATTGTTACCTATAAGCATATGTCTTGTGATGCCTTCCTTTACTTTCATAAGATATAACACACAAAACTACAACTTGCATGACCAAGTTTTAACACTCATGTGTTTTATTTATTTCTTTTAACAGAAACCAAACTAAATGAAGAAATGCCAAGATATTATTTTACTAGAAAGGAAATTTTTTCTTGTAATTACTATATAGTATTAATAACTTCATGGAATTATTGAAATGACAAGATCAAATCTGTTATTAATAACTACAAATATGTAATGACATAATAAACACAGCTAATGTTTACATACTAATGATTACTAGAGTAAGCTTATCATCACAATGGTTTTATTAACAAAAGTAATCCTAAAAATAATAACTATACCTCCAAGCTGTCCATTTTTTTTTTTATTATTTCATAAATTGACCAAATAAAGAACTGGGAAATTGAGACAACATATATGTGAATCTTCACACATCCTTAATGTTAAACCTACTGTACAGTATTTATACCACGGATGTGAGACCTACCCGCCCAGGAGAGCAGACATGTAAGACACTCCTGCTAAGACGAAGACTGCATTCATAGCTTCTAGAGAATCCCATGCCTGGTGACCATCCCATGGGCCCTACAAGGTTAAAACAGAGTCTAATACTGTATAGTAAACATGTTCCCCCTATTAATACCATTACCACCAAAGAAAAGTACAGCATGTACTGTATACTGTATCATATTACTGTACAGAATAGTCTGGATTTACGCAGTTTTTGTTTACGCGTTTGGTTATTTACGCGGCACCTTGCCAGAATGAAATGTTTTAATTACGAGATAAATTTCATCATTTACGCGGGTGAAGTATAATTTGTTTATTTACTGAAGAGATTTGTTTTTAGCTCATAAAATATATAATTTACATTGCTGGAATTCTTATAAGATTGTGATTATTTTAAATATAAACATCATAAAATTTTCATTAGACATACAAATTTTAGATCTAATTTAAGAAATTTATTAGAAAGAGCAAAAATTTTATCTTTTGTGCAAAATATATGACGTTTATATTCAAAATATTCCCTGTCTTGCAAGGAATCCAGCAATGTCAATTATATTATCCTAACTTTAGCCTGAGGTATTATTTATTACTAAAAATGTAAGCATACTGTTTTTCCCCAAACATTTCTCAGAGAGGGAGGAGCCAGCGAGCGTAAGAAGGGGGGGTTGAGTCCATTATTTGAATGGACATTAACCGGCGACTGTATTTCTCTTAAATATTAATTGTGTGTGCATAACATCATAAAATAAAGATGTTATTTTTACTACAATATACGTATTGTGTCTGAAAAGTGTAGTTTGGGGGTCGGCCCAGTCTCTATTTCAATTAATCCCATATGTTCTGTTATTTCGTTTACGCGTTTCTTGTTTTACGCGGACCTCCACGGGTTCAATTGACCGCGTAAATGCAGACTATACTGTATTATGATAAGAACTTGAGCTATACGTATTTAAAGTCACTGTATTGTACTGTATAAACTTCATGGTAAGAAACACAAGTAGTCTTTACAATCCTCTTTCCTTTACCTGTACTGTAGTATATTCAACATGTCCAATCCATAGAATAATAATAATGAGCAGTCTGATCTCATAAAAGATACACAATTTTTACCTTATTGAGGAAAAGAAAGAAGTTTGTAGCGAGGGCATAGTAGGCAAGACGTTCTAATGTCAACACGACCAAGATCACTACTGTGGCCGCCGTCTGCTTTCGTGCATCCCTCGCATCCATTGCTGGAGATGAAGAAGGAAAGGTTTAACAGTACAATCTACAGTAATTCCCAAATAAGTTGATGGTTACAAATTTCAAGTTTGTAAATCAAAGACATCACTCTCTCTGTCCCTTTCATCCTCTCCCAAATGTCTGTGAAGAATTAGGGGAAATAAGAGACTAGTATGCATGAAAAGTTGTAAATGGTCAAACCTTTTGTTAAAATATATACAGTACTGGACCTGTATTTACATACAGTAGTTAACATGATATGATTTTTAAAAATCTGTGACCAATCTACCTTTTCCAACAGTGACAAGAATTTTAAAATTTCTGAGGTACGTATACAGTGGTCCCTCGGTTAATGAACACAATTCGTTCTACAGAGTCGTTCGTTAACCGAAAATTTCGTTAACCAAATCCATTGTTTCAATGGGATATTGGGTAATTGGTTCCAGCTCACAGAAAAGTACATACAAAGTAAAAAAAAAAAAAATGCAGTAAAGTACACTTACTTTGAGGTGTGTATGTAGAAGGTTCCTGGTTGATGATGATGATGGGAATTAGAAGTGGGGGTGGAGGAGAAGGGAGAAGAGAAGGAAGTGGGGATGGAGGAGAAATCACCTTTCAAGGGACCCATGCTTGATGCAGTAATTTCACCAAGGTGTAATTCGAGAATATTTTCTTTAAATGAACACTGCAATGCACTATATATTATCAATATGTTAACTAAATTGCAGAATGACCAATTATATTAATGTAAAAATGCAAAAATATTCAAGACACCAACAAATCGATGTTCACTCCACTGTCAACAAAGCCAAACTGACGCCTGGTGGGTGAGTCAAGCGGCTGATGGGTGCACAAAAAACTACAGGTGCTCCCCTACTTACAACTGCTTGGACTTACGTCCATCAGTACTTATGACCTGCTCTGACCTTACGACCGTCGGGACATACGACCGCGGCAGTCGTGACCAAAAATATTTTCAAATGACGCGCGCATTTTCTATACCGAAACGTTTCTGTCCCGGGCGAGGGGGTGGTGCGGCTTGGGTCGCCGAGTGGGTACACTCACTCAGTAGAGCGCTTAGTTGGTGTTTGGCTATCGTATCCTATATACTGATCGCGCTGTGAACTTTCGTTATTATCGTATAAAATTGACTTTATAATGACTGGAAAGCGTAAAAGTGAGAGTGCTGGTGGTGCTTCAAAGAAAAGGAGACAGGCAATTATTTTTGAGATGAAAATGAAGATAATAACTCAGCATGAGAATGGAAAGACTGTAGCAACAATCTCACGCGACCTAGGTTTCTTACACTCGACCATATCCAATATTCTGAAGGACAAGGAACGTATTCGTGATGTAGTGAAAGGAACAACACCAATAAAGGGAACTATAATTTCAAAGAAAAGACAAGGTCCTATTCACGATATGGAAAAATTATTGGTGATATGGATAGAAGACCAGATACAGAAGCGTGTACCCTTAAGCCTTCTAACCATACAGGCTAAAGCAAGAAGCCTGTTCCAAAGCCTGAAGGAGCAGGCAGGAGATGAATGTGATCAAACCTTTACAGGAAGTCATGGGTGGTTTGATAGATTTAAAAAACGCTACAGTCTACACAATATTAAGGTGAGTGGAGAGGCCAGCTAGTGCCGATGTTGGTGCTGCCGAAGCTTTTAAGGAGGAGTTAGATGAAGTGATTGTGGAAGGGAATTATATGCCTGAGCAAATATTCAATGTGGATGAGACTGGATTATTGTGGAAGCGCATGCCTGAGCGGACATACCTGTACATCCACAAAGAGGCGAAAACAATGCCAGGATTCAAGGCATTCAAGGACAGAATTACACTTCTGTTGGGGGGGAATGTTGCTGGTTTCAAGCTAAAGCCCTTCATGATCTATCATTCAGAGAACCCCAGGGCTTTTAAACATGTCAGCAAGCACACACTGCCAGTGTTTTATCGAAGTAATAAGAAAGCCTGGATAACCTTAGCACTGTTTGAGGATTGGTTCATGACTTGTTTCATTCCACGAGCCAAGGAGTATTGTCTGCAACAACACATTCCATTCAAGATTTTGTTGATTTTGGATAATGCTCTGGGACACCCACCACACCTGGACGACATGCACCCTGATGTTAAGGTATTCTACATTCCACCTAACACTACCTCTATCATCCAACCCATGGATCAAGGTGCTATTGTTGCCTTTAAAGCGTATTATTTACGCACGACCTTCGCTCAGGCTGTTGCTGCTACTGAAGGTGAGAAAACGCTCAGAGAGTTTTGGAAGGAGTACAACATTTTGTCATGTATAAAGAACATTAGTGCAGCATGGGATCAGGTTACAAAACATTGCATGAATGGAATATGGAAGAAAATCCTGAAAAGATATGTGAACAGTTTCAAAGGATTTAATGAAAATGAAGTTATTTCGGATATTAGTAACAAGATAGTGCAATTAGGTAAACAGCTGGAGTTAGAAATTGATAATGAGGATGTTGGACAGTTGGTTGAAAGTGTAGCAGAAGAGCTCAGTAACGAGCATCTTATTGAACTAGATGCACAGAAAATTGTAGAGGAAGAAGAGAGACAAAATGTAGAAGAAGAGCCTGCACCCCCAAAAAGTTTTCAGTGAAACAAATGGCAGAGGCATTTGCTACAATTAATAAAGGAATGCAAATGTTTGATGGCATGGATCAAAATTATGAGCGTTATGCCAAAGTTGACAAAATGATCCAAGATGCATTTGCTTGCTACAGAGAAATTTATAACAAAAAGAAATAATAAACTGTGCAGTCTAAATAGGACATCTGTTTCAAGAAGTCCCCCAGTGCTGTCTACTCACACCCCACCAGTGCTGCCTCTTTACTCCCTCAAGATGATCCAATACCTTCAACCAGCAAGTTTCCACAGTACATAAACCTGTCTGAAGAAAGCGACATTGATGACCCACCCCGCCCTGTCTCCTCCTCTGCTTCATCCAATTAATATAGTCTCCATGTATCCTGTAAATAGAAAATTATGGGGGCCCTGTGTGCATTCAGCTGACTATATTAAAGGTAAGTGCTCAGTCACACTGTATCCATTCCTCATTATTTATTACTTTTACTTTACTGTATCCATTCCTCATATTTATTACTTTTACTGTACTGTATTTCATTGTAGAGTTTTATTTTTTTTTTTTATCTATGTCGGACTTACGACTATGTCGGACTTACGACCTGGATTTGGGTCCATAACCTCGTCGTAAGTCGGGGAGCACCTGTAGTTCCCTGTACTGCATATATTCTCAATATGTTAACTAAATTTTAAAATGATTAATAATTTTAATATAAAAAATGCAAAAATATTAAAGAGCACAACTTTCTTGATATTTACTCCACTGGAAACGAATGTAAACATAAAACAGATTACAGTACTGATTTGGCAGACTAGCCCATCAGTTGATCAGCTGATGCTCACAACAAAACGTGTTTGTCGTAAGGATTTCGTTATTGAAGTTTTGTTCGTTAACCGAATTGAAGATCCTTATGGGAGGTAATTTCGTTAACCAAAATTTCATTAATCGAACCGTTCGTTAACCAAGGGACCACTGTACTGTATAACCATATACAGTACGCTACATAGTATCATCAATATATTTTACAGTCTATGACTTAAATACAACATTAGAACCCCTAAGCTAATTCAAAGGATATCCACTCTTCAAAATATCATTAAGAGTTACAAGATATCAAACTACAGTACTTGATGACATTGAGGCAACAAAACAGATATGAAATTAAATGTACAGTACTGTATCTACATAAATGCGTTCTATCATGATGTAAATTAACAAGACATTATTTCTAAATTTATATATGCACATGCAACTATTCATTTAATCTGGGGACTAAAACTAGATACAGTCCATGTGTACTGTAAGTGTCCAACAAATAACACCATATGTTATACAGTACTGATGTGATTATAAAGTGCAGACATGCAATTTTCAGGGAATACAAAAACATTCACTGTACATTCCAGTATACTAATGACAACATGATTTCCACAGTCCCAACAATGTGTGTGAAAGATTAGTAATACAGAACAGTACAGTTCAGTTCAGTTCAGTTTTTGGAATCCGATGCATTGTGCACAAGTTTCCAAAAAGTATTATACGTAATTGATTTTGCAATTTATTTTAGAGAACTTACCTATTTTATCTAAACAAAACGAACCTAACCAAACCTGCAATAACCTGACTAAACCAACCAAACCTAACTTAACCATAAATTGTACAATGGGGCGCCAGTGGTAGAGCGGTACCGCTCTTGCCTCGCAAGCGAGATGTCACGGGTTCGATTCCCGGACCGGTGGAAAGTTGTTTGGACACACTTCCTAGCCCCCATTGGTCCCTGTTCACCTAGCAGCAAAGTAGGTACCTGTTGTAAATCGAAAAGTTGCGAATTCGTATTCAGGGAAAGTTGTTGGAGCTTCCAATAACTTGCTGGCAAAAACCTATGACCCTTCAGGCTTCTACGCCCTTAACTCATGAGACATAAAGGCAAGCATGAACTTAGCATGCTTCCCAGATGGGCGCTGTAAGCGCTTCACCTTGCACAGGATGTAGGGGGGTGCCCAATAAACTAAAAAAAAAAAAAAAAAATGTACAATGTACTGTACTTACAGTTTCATAAAATTGAAGAACTGTGCATTGGTAGTTCAAAATCATATGCAAAGTGTTAACAGATTAAACTCTGAAAACAATAGTACAGGTACAGCACAGTAATTTACTTTTAAAGTAACATCAAATTTTGTGATGTCCGTTTGCTTTAAGTTATCTGTACTATTATCCAATTTTTACTACCTGCAGGAGTGGATTGAGCCATCTGGACATTGGGAGAATTCCTGGTAGGTACTGCATGTAGGTTCCAATGTTTTATTATCCTTAAACTACAGTCAGACTCCCAGCAAAATAAATAATTCAGATTTCTCCTTGACCTAGCATGGATGATGTTGATCTCCCAACACC